AAAAAAAAAAAAAAAAAAAAAAAAAAAAAAAAAAAAAAAAACTTCATATTGTTTGGTGAATTTCAAGTCTTGCAAAAAAAAAAGAAACCGGTCCACTCTCTTTTTAATAGGACCACCAAAAATTACCAATTAATAAATAGCAGAAAAAGTATGTTGTTGGTTGCTGGAACCTATCTTTTATTCCCACATGCATGACAACATTTATTTAATTTAATTTATTCCCTCTTACATTGAATTTCCGGGACGACTTAAAAATATTTGTAGTTTTCACATTAACTATTGATATTGTGACTATTGATAGTTTCCATTGGCTTGATGAGTTTTCATACACAGTGAGAATCAAACACATGTTTCTACTAGATAGATTCTCTTAACATATGAATGAAAAGTATCTAACCACAATAAGATCATTTGTTTACTTATTTTCTTTGTTATTGATAGAATATTGATTTTTTTATATTGCTAAAACATAAGCATAACAACAACGAGATCATTGAAGACAAAAAAACTTCTCAACATTAACTAAAAAATGTTCATTGAGAATAAGATGAAGACATATTTGCATAACATGAAAAGCCAAAAAAATGGCACAAAAAAAACCTCAAATAGTTGTAGGAAATAATCCTGATCAATCACGACTTGTTGGAGAACTCATACATCGTCCAAAAATGGAAAAGAAAAAACCTCTATGTACCTTATTTTGACGAGATTTAGATGAAGAATGTGAACGTTTGGAACCTTGGCTACCATGCAACCTTCTTTCCATAATGTTTTCTTCCATTTGTGACACATTATTTTCTTCCTTGTACTTTTTGTTCTTCCCCGATGCCGATGTTGTAGCATTGCCTTTTGAATCCACAAATTGCATGTGATCTTGCCATATTCGACCTGAAGATCCTTGTCTTCGAAATGAAAATGATGATCTCTGCAACGTGTTCATGATGAAATCAGGGTTTCCACTATTGTTGTGTTCTTTTCTTTGTTTTTCTGATGATCTATATAATTATGAAATACCCCTTCTCTCAAATTTTAAGTGCTTTTTAACTGATCACATAATTGTATTTTAGTCGGAGAGAGAAGATTAGGCAAGTGGTGGATAAAGCACTTTTTGTTTGGTTAAAAGGATATTGTTGTGATTCATTTAGCATGTAAAATGTAAATATAGTAAATGGCCTTCCATATGTTTTTCTCTTATCCACACAATTCTGACTAATTCACTCAGTCAGTTGCTATATTTGGAGGCTAACAAGTGTTTTTATCTACTTTTGGAGATGCTACATTTTAGGGATTACACAATAATAAAACGACTGGTGTATATTGCTCCTTTTCTGGTCTTGTTTTTCATTTTTGGACTAATATATAAATGCTACATTAATATTTACTAATGTAATTTGAGTTTGTTAAAATAATTATGGGTAACAAAGGTTTGAATTCCTTCAAGATTTTAAATTGTATTTCAAAATTTTAAGGTTTAAACTCAAGATATCTTATTTAGTATAATCTCTTATTGGTTAATTTGTGCTTTCCCTTCATGATTTTAATACAATTGTATTTTAAATTTTTAAGGATTTAAACTCAAGGTATCTATTTAGCATAATCTCTTATAGGTAAGACAATTTATGCACTACATGATAACTCTTGCTTTTATTATTTATATTTTCTTCTTTGTTTATTTAAATAATTTTTTTTGCAATGATATCCTCAATATTAGTACTTTGGATATTATATATATTATTTAAAATGTCTACTTATAGATCGACTATAGTGATTTAACTAAACATATGTTTTAACACTAAAGTAAATGAAAAGAAAAATCAACATTTCTTTATAGAAAAATGTATTTTTTTTATTGATCCTTAATATAAAAAAATATTTCATACAAATATTCATTCACATTAAGAATTTCCTAATACATAGGAGGTCCTTATGTTAATAAGAAGGTAAAAGGATATAAGCCAAGTTGATCCAAATATTAAAATTCATTAGAGCTATATGAATTGAAAGCATTATAGAAGTAAGGAATTATTCTTAACTAGATTTAGATCCGTTTGTTACAACAATTAAGTATATTTTAATTTTAATTTATTACATATTAATTTAAAAAATTAAAATAAATAATATAACAAGTCTTTGAAAAAGAGTGTTTTTTTTTTTTGTAAAATTTCAAATATTTCTATAATATTATTAAAGAAATCAACATTTGTGAAAATATTTATCGAGGCAAATTTTACTTTGTAATAATTGCAAGAATAATTATGTAAAAGCAACTTATTATTTTGATAACTAATATTTATTTTGTATAACTTAATTGATGAAATCATTTGAGGATTAAAAAGAATCGAATCGATGTGGGTTACAACATAATAATAAAAAATGTTGACATTGCAAGAAATAATTTTCTTACCGCTAGTTATTATCACAATTTGTGCTTCAAGATTATATATTATAAATAAATTATATAACTACACATTAATAATAATACTCAAGATTTAGTATATGTTTAGAAACATTTTTTTTAAAATAAACCATTTATTTTCAAAAACAAAAAAATGATATGTATTTAGAATTAGAAGTTAAACTTAGAACAATCAATCTATCAGAATAAAAATTCTACTATTCAAAGGCATTTTTCTAAAGAGGATAAATCACAGTAAAATCTGCAACTAGAAAAACATGAGTGGTTTAACTTTGAGTCTAATGTGAAAGTCTTGTACTTAATTATCCTAATAATCATCAATAGCCAGAAGAAGAAAAAATGCAATACAAGAACTTAGTAGTCAAAAGAAGCATCCAAAAGTTCAGGGAATGCTGCTCTTATCTCACTATCCCTGTCCAAAATACCATCCACAAATGAATGGCCTTCACACTGTTTGTTAATTTGGTGTTGCATGCTTGTACCACAAGCAACAACCCCAGAACCCTGATTACTAGTTCCTTGTTTGTCATGGCCATTATTGCTTTTGGTATTGTTGGAAAGTTCAGCTTCACTTTGCAATATTAGACCTGAGGGGTTCAAAGACCACACAAATGAGTCACTTTGGAGAAACTCACTCCAATCAAAGGAGGAACAATTAAGAGGGGCAACATGAGCCTGAGTGGTTTGGCAAGAGTAGGACTTTGGTGAGCCTAAGTGTGTGAGGTTAGAGGAAGATGAGGATGAGGTTGAGGATGCAACTTCACTCAAGACATTTTCTGAGTTGATGATTTGGTAAGGAACCTGGTGTTCCCCCCATGAGGGAACTTGATCCTCTTGTGTGTGCTCCAACATGGACTTGTTGGAACCTGATGGTTCAGTTTTTGTTGGTAACATGTTACTCATCAAGTCCTTGTTCACAAAAGCCATTTGGTTGGAGGTGTTTGGGAGGCCACTAATACTTCCCAAGTCAGAGAGGACTTGTGATACTGGCTTATGAGTCACTGGATCAATTCCCATCTTCATAAGCTTCTTCCTTAGCTTTGTGTTCCAGTAGTTCTTGACATCATTGTCTGTTCTTCCAGGTAGTCTTTTTGCAATTAAAGACCATCTATTTAAAAAAAAAAAAACAATGTTTGTGATTAGCTGTCACAGATAAGGTGATGAGATTTTTGTGTTTGAAAAAAAAGGTTTAAAGGAAGGGAAAAAAAAATGGGTTCATACAGTTGGCACATTTGTGATGCATGTCAAAGTTTATGGTTAGTTCATTCCCTCAATAAACCAAGACAATACAGTTAATGTTTTCCTCATGTAACATGAACCAACAAGTGCATAAAGTTTTGTCATGCTATTTTTGCTTACTTTGAGAAAACAAACAGAATTTAATTAACTGCACCAGTACACTGTGATCAAATGGCTTGAAATTAATTATAAGCACTTTAGAAATTAAATTCCCTTTCCAAATTAAGGCTTATAGGTGAATGAAATTTGTAGTTAAAATACAAATATGATGTAAGATAAGCCTTTTCTTATAGAGGTGGTAAATTTTACGAAAAGATTTTGATCTTACTTTGAACTTTAAATTCAATCTGATTATGTACTTTGATGCGTGCCACCTTTCATATTGGTTTCATACATTGACTAAGACTATACAAGATTATTTTCCAAATATAAATAGTAGAACATACCTGCTTCCTATGGCTCCATGAAGGTTAATAATGAGCTCTTCTTCTTGGGCAGTAAAACTATCATGCTTGAGATCAGGTCTTAGGTAGTTGGTCCATCTTAGCCTGCAGCTTTTACCACACCTGTTCAACCCTGCAAACAAATTCAAGAAAAGAGAGTGAAGTTGCACCATTTGAAATTATGAGTCTGCTTGAATACAGGTTAGAAACACTTTTGAAAATTTTTCTACCAAGAGTTTTTTTGGTAGAGAAATTCTTAAAATGTGCTTCTAAACTTATATCCAAACAGGCTCTATGTCTCTTAATTCCTATTTTACTTTTTTATGAAGGAAAGTGTTGAAGAAACCTGCTTTCTTTGGAACCAATGTCCAGTTTCCAGTTCCATGATTGGATACATAGGCAAGTATTTTAGCATCTTCCTCAGGTGTCCAAAGACCCCTCTTCACATTGGATTTGTCACAGCAAGGAGGCCTTCCCATTTTTGAATGAGAGAAGTAAGGGAAGGACAGAGTGAGTTATGTAATGGTGATGCAATATGCATTGAAGGGTAACTTTAAAGTGGTGAAAAGGCCTAATGTTTAAGATATGAAGAGGCAAGAAAAGCATGCAAATATTGGCTCCTAATAACAACAATTGCATGATTATATTCATCTTTCTGTAAACAAAATAAAAAACCAAAACCATTTGTATGACATCAGAAACATAATGCAAGTGCCTTCCCATTCCTTCTCTCTCTCATATGCCTCCCCATCAAAAGCAATATCTATTTCAGGTACAATTCGAATGACCTATTTGGTTAAAACTGATTTTCATTATGCAATCAAAATTCTTTCATCTTTTGTGTAGCTTGGTCTCTTTAGCAGCACAATGCCAACTGCCAAGTCCCAATTGAACACATATATGCCTACAAAATATTAAAGAAAACGTTCACATAGACCCTTGTCACAAGATAGATTCAAACTGATTGAGCCTATGTAAGCATTTTATCAGTAATTTATTAATAATGAATTATAGTATCTGTCATCATTTTCTTACTTTATTTCTCCTTTTGGCAGAGGAAAGCTTAAGGAGTGGAAATTGTACTGTGCAATTTACAGTGGTGCTTGCATCAAACCAACTATTAATTGTCTGTTACTATATTGTATAAAGACCAGAGCATAGGTCATAGTACTTCCATATTAATTGAGTTTAATTTATACATATTATCGATTTGAAATATTTTGCACAGTTTATAACGATTTACCTGGTTATCACTTCATATTAATCTATAATCCATAACATATATAAAAGCTATAACTTAATTTGGTGTAGATATTTTTTTTTAGACGATTTTACCCTTAAATTTTTAAATAATAAAAATTAATATTAAAAATTAATCATTCTTATAAATAAATTCATATTCAGTATCTTGAAGTTTAATGACCAAATGCAACATCAGATAATCTAATAAATATTGATAAGTTTTAAAAACTTTTATTAAATAAAATATAGAGGTACTTAGGGAGGTGTATTAGATTAGGATTTTAAAGGACTTTTTTAGTTAAAAAAAATCTTGCGAATTTTAAAAGACTTTGCAGGATTTTCATGACTTTTAAGATTTTGCAGGATTCTACAAGGCTTAAAATTAGGATTTTAATGGATTCTGCAAGACTTTTAAATTAGGATTTTAATGGATTCTATGGGATTTTGTAGAATTTTCGTGGATTTTTAACATTTGATAAGATTTCAAAAAAAAAATAATACATTCTAATTTAAAAAGATTCAAAGACAAAAATAATAAAAAATAACAATGTCTAGATAAATAATAATAATAATAATAATAATAATAATAATTCTCCATAATATCCTATCTTCTTAAATAACATTCACCCACATATTCATAGTTATACTAGTCCTCCAAGCATTAGCGTTTTCTCGCTCTTACTCCTGGATTTGAATAATAGGCTCAAAAGTATGATTTTCATTAACCGGTAACGTTGAAGATGAAGGTTCATTCACTAGTTCAATTGGAAATTCATCAGAACGACATTCTTTATGTAGAAAGTTATGTAGTGTTGCACATACTAACACAAGTTCTACTTGTGTCTTAAATAAAAATGGAGGTACTAACTTAAAAGTTGTGAACCTTGACTTAAAAATACCAAATATTCTCTTGATCACATTCCTTAAAGACGCATGACGAAAATTGAATAATTCTTTTTCATTTTCAGGTTCATTACCCTGACCTGTAAAATCTTGTAGATGATATCTTACACCTCGAAATGGAGCTAAAAATTGGCGTTGATTAGGAAATTCACAATCCACCAAAAAATATTTACCTAATTACATATGCAATATATATAATATTAGATATTGCAATGTCTTGTGTTAATTTTTTTTAAAATATAAAAAAATCATAATTTCACAATATAAAAATAAAAAGAAAAATTCATAGTAAAAAAAATATTATAGATTATGATATCAATTTCATCTTTCACCTTATCCTTTTCTTGACGTGTGTTATAAAAAAAATTATCACTTAAAAGTTGAAATTTCAAGCACTTTTTTGTGTTATATAAAGGAAAAAATTCAACTACATAGAATAAAATAAAGCAAGTCAATTAAAGAGAACAAACAGAAAAATAGAGCAAGTCAATGACACTATCATTTACATATCGGAGTTTCATAAAATAGGGGAATGGAATGAAAACAGTACTATAATATTATATATGAGCAATGAACAATAGTGCAGTATTATTAACAGAGAAAAAATGGAGAAGACAGGAGCATAGAAGAAAAAAAAGATGAAAAACTCACTTGAAAATTCTTGAAACACTTGAAAAGTCACTTCAAACAATCCTTCAAAATTCGATGGGTTTGGATGAGATTATTTTATGAATTTGATATTTATAGATAACACTAGAAAGTCCTTCAAAATCTCTCTCACACAACAATCCTTTAAAATTCTTATATTTTTTAATACCAATAGATTGTTTTTAAGTTGTAAAAAATCTCAAATGAATACTAATGGATTTTAATGGACTTTTTAAAAAATCTTGAAAATCCAGATTGAATATCACTGAATTGTTTTTAAGTGACATAAAATCCTTATTAAATACCAATGGACTTTTTTATTAAAAAAAAGGTCTTTTTTTAGATAATTTTATCTTTTAATATTTAAATAATAAAAAATAATATTAAAAATTAATTATTCTTATAAACACAAGAATCGAACCTAAGACTGTGAGGTTTGAGAACCAAATGTAATACCAGTTAATTTATCAAAAATTAATTTTGAAACATTTTTAATATATAAAATATAAAAACACGAAATGTTTTAACTCTACTAATAGATAGAATGACAATGATAAAATGATTAAATCTAATTTGATATAAGTGTAAAGATATTTTATATTTGGTATATACAAATTCTCCTCAAACATGTATTTTCATTATTAAATTATATTTAAAAGCACAGAAGGATCTTCATAATTTTTTCTAATATTTTACCATTTTTCTTTAAATCTTTATTTGAAAGAGGTTTATTATTCATTTAATGTGTATATATTTATTATAGTGTCTATTTTTTATGATTGGCCATTTCCCCCTCTCATCTAAGGCTAACTCCGTCCCTGTCAAATAATGTCAAATACCATTTATCATTGACCACATATTTATTTATTGAGTTAATCATTCATACACTGTTAACTAAAAGTTTTTTTACGTTGACAACCAATTATATTTTTTAAATTATTTTATTTTATTTTTATTTGATTAAATAAGAAAATGACATGACACTATTAAAAAATATAATTGATTGTCAATGCAAAATAATTTTATACTAAGAATGTATGGGTATTTAACTCTTATTTATTTACCTACCTAAATGCTTTCGCTTATAATGGTAAGTTTCTTGATTCATACGGCTCAACGGTCAATTCTTTTAGTGTTAAATTATGGCAGAGTTAAAGGGATAAGAAAAGTTAATTACATGAGTTTCAAACTTGTTAATTACACGAGTTTCAAACTTGATTTTGATTGAAAAATCAATTTTATCCTCTTTATGTTAGATCTTTTTTCCTAGTCTTTGTTTAGCATGTATGCATTGGCAAGAGTTAATACCATCACCATTTAATCATACAAACAATTTTTTCTTACATCACATCACTTTCTGGAATAAGAGATTGGTCCCGCACAGGATCATCAGCGCATTTGGAGGGCAACAGATTTTAAACATAACAATTAACAACAATCCCTTTAGATGGAATACAACGATGTAAGCTTTCAGCGACTGTATATCATATGCAGTTAAGACTTAATTTAACGATCCCATTTTCATTAAAATTTAATATTAAAAAATTGTAACCTCATTCAACTTGACACAAGAATTAGTATATTTCTTATACTGTTCATTCATAATTCATTTGTATTTAATGATGCATCCTTACCAAGCTGAAAATCCGTTCAAAATCACAATAAGAATAACCCAAGAATAAGAGAAGTACAAAAGGGTTTTAAATCAGTTATAGTTTTATCTCGCTTCTTGATGTTGCAAAAAAATCGGACAGTGATCCTAAAATCCTTGACCTTGCAGCCAGAATCACGGTCACGAACCGTTTTCTAAAATCTTGGCACAAAGTGTAAAAAACAAAAATGAGAGCAACAGTAACTATGTGCGTGTTCGGGTAACATTCTTCAAAAACACTGATAAAAATACAAAATAAAAAGAATAAAACTAACATAAGTATAAACTATTTTGTAAATGTTCTTTTCTATCGACTTCTCCAAAATCTTATTAAAAACTCAATAACGGAAAAAATTATTTTAATTTTCCTAAGAGTGCTCTTAGATAAGTTTATCCAACCTTATGAAAAATGATAGCAACCAATACAATCTTTAAGAGCGAGGCAACACCACTTCACTTACCTGATGTACATCCAGTTCATGATGGTCATTGGAATATGGTTAAAATCCTTGTGCTTTTAGAAAACAGTATCAAAAACAGCTAAGAAATGTATTGGCATAGTTCCATGTTGAAGTTCAACAAAAATGAATGTTATATACAATATATTTGTCAATGTATTATAACTCTACATGCATTTGAGAGCAAAGAAAGGTATAGACTTCCTAAGAAGAGCAGACATTGCAACTTTTCATACAGTTTCCTCTGACTCCATCACCACCAACCATATAAAGTGGATTCTTCTCACATTCACCTATTTTAGCCCACCTAGGGCAATTATCATTCTCATCAACACAGCCTCCACTACCCACTTGCCTGACTGGTTTTTCAAAGTCACTCACGTGAATCCACTTAGTCGCAGACCACTTCTCACCCTCAATGACTGGGCAGCTTCCATGCAAGCTCTTAGTATCCGTAGTTGCATCCAGATGAAGACTGAAGAACAACAATGCATCACCCTTCTGAGGTTTTACTGAAATCACAGAAACAGATAAGGTTAGAACTTAAATCCTCTGCCATAAAATAAGAAAGGAAAATGGGTGGTTAGATTACACAAGTATGCAAGAGATTAAAACAATGGTAACTGTGAAACATCAAGGAAAAGATTGATTTGCTTCATTTAGTACCAGAAAAATCAATGAATGCTTAGTGCATTGTAACTTATAAGATCAATATTAACAATCACATTACAAAATTTTTGGCAGGAGAAAGATGTCTCAACAAAAAGAAACCTATATAACCAATATGGTTTCAACCAATTTAGTAAATACCAAATTAAGCAGCTAAGGAAAAAGAAGAAAATTACAATAATTGGTAAAATATTCATTTGGCCCACCTAACTCAATTTTAACTGAGAAAGGGGACACAAATAAGATTTTATATATGTTGAAATTATAGGGTTCAGGTAGAGAAAAAGGAAAGAAGTATGAATAAATAAGATATATTAATGTGATGTACTAGAACAACTGATCCAATGTTCCTATTTAAACTAATAACCAAGTCATGTACTAATGTACTGTCACAAGTAAAAGCCCAAGGCCCACAGAAGGTGTTTGGGTAAAACAACTTGATTAAAACGGTTATTCAATAAATTTTTATCATGAAACTCGAGAGAGCAAGTGTTGATAAAGCTTATTCAAATAAGCTAAAAATATATCATAAGCCCGTATAGATTCTAAATTCTAAATAAGTTACTTCAATGTTCAAATACCCCCTATTAAATGAAGAAGTGAATCAGGAAACATGGTAGAATTAAGAAGCAAGAAAAGGAGAAAATCCTAAAAATGTTCTAGGAATCTGTTCTCCAGTTCTTTCATTTTTGCAGGCTTATAATTATCTAACGTAATGGAAACTCTATAAATAAATGGAACCACTTTATTATTACATCCCAATCTCTCTTCACAACTTCATGCACTTGAGTGGGTTAGTGATGGGGACCAAAGTGACCAAATGGGCACATTGTTAAATCAAATGAGTCATGGGCCTAGGATACGGGGAAAGTATATAATAGGAAGAAAAAGGGGACATGTAGGAAGAGGAGCAGGGGAGTTAGTTGATGACTTGGAACTTGGAAGAGTGACAAAGGGTAGAGCTAGAGAGAAGTCAATTATAGAGAGGGAGTGATGATACTTTTGGGACAAATTTTGGCCCTGTGGCTTGGACTCTCAATTCTGGGAATCGAGAGACACATTTCTACCATTTTTGCCCACTCTACTTCTTGTATTTATCCTCCAAGCATCAAGAGAAGCTCACTGATAGTGAGCCTTCCTCCATATTCATAAACAAAGAAACATTGTAGAAGTCATGGGGTGTTCAACAAATGGGCTTGTATTTGAAATCCAGAGAATTTGAAATTTTTGGAATTTAAATTATCTTTATTTCAATTTCTACCATTCATTAAATTTTTTGTTTGGATAAATTAATTCAAATTTATTAAATTTTAAATACTTAGCTTGGATAGGGCAATTTAATTTCCACTATAAGCAAAATTGATTCTACAAATGGATATTGGATATATATATATAAATATGTATATATATATTCATATTGAAATTTTAAGATTAAACTTCATAAAAATAAATATTAACCAATTTTAAAATATTTAATAAATTAAAAAATTAATATTAGACATTATTTAAAAATTAATTTAAATATTCAATAGTTAAAAAAAATTGATATTTTTATATCAACATTAAAAGAGAGGAGAGAGAGGTATGAGAAAAAAGAGAGAGAAGAAAGAGAAGAAAGAGGAGAGAAGAGAAAAGAAAGAGGGATAGATGGAGAGAGAAAAAGAAAGAGGAGAGAAAGATATGAGAGAGACGGAGAGAAAGGGAGAAAGGAGAGAGAGAGAGAGAAGAAAGAGAAGAAAGAGGAGAGAAGAGAAAAGAAAGAGGGATAGATGGAGAGAGAAAAAGAAAGAGGAGAGAAAGATATGAGAGAGACGGAGAGAAAGGGAGAAAGGAGAGAGAGAGAGAGAAGAAAGAGGGATAGATGGAGAGAGAAAAAGAAAGAGGAGAGAAAGATATGAGAGAGACGGAGAGAAAGGAGAGAGAGAGAGAGAAGAAAGAGAAGAGATAAAAATTATAGAGAGAAGAAAGAAGAGAGAGGAAAAAAGGGAAAGAGAATAAATAAGAGAGAGAGAGAGAGAGGAGAAAGGCAAGAGAGAGACAAGATGGAAAATAAAAGATAGGGGAGAGAGAGACAGGATAGAGAGATAAAAGCTACTATAAGTGAGACACGAAAGAAAATTGTGATTGTGACTAAGACTATCTATGCGTAATGTCAGAATTTATACAATCTGTCAAAATCTAAGAAGACAGGGCTTGGCTTGGTACAAATATTGATGTCATGAGCATCTGCAGATGTTTTGTAACATCCTCTTACCTAGAAGGCAAAATTATGCGCACTGTAAAATATTATGCACTAGAAACTAGAAGGGATGTTTCTGTGATATACGGCGTGTTTGATTTCACGTCCGCCACACTTAATTCACGTCAAAAACGTGAAAATAAGAAGTAAAAATTTCTTATTTCTGCGTTAACGTAATTTTTGAACGTAGATCCAGACACACCAGTAGTTCAAAATAAACAATAACCTCAATTCAATATATCAAAAACTACTAATAGTCTGTAAAAGCATCCAGAAATAGTTATACCTGCATATCCGTTGTGAGCACATTCAGACCAACTCTCATCTTTTGGCTGCAACAACTTTGCCTGAAAAGGCAAACAAATTAATAATGATTTCATTTTTTCTTTTTTATTGAGGAGAGGGAGTTAGGTGTGTTTATTAGAAGGAAACATCAGAGAATCAAAGCCATGAGAAAATCTTTACCTCAGAGTTGGGAAAAATTGTTTCCCCGCCCTTCTCAACATTAGATAAATACATCAATACAGTGGCAACACGATGGCCACCCAAAACTTGATTAGCTTTGTCATGGAAGTAATCAAAATGTGGTTCATACTTCTCACCATTCTCATAGTGCAACACTTGCATCGACTCACCATTCTCTGATGCAATTCAGACACATTTAAATTGAAGCGAAGAAAAGCAAAAAACTGAAATGGATCAAAGAATTATTTTGTCTACTAACCTACAGGAAGGAATGTCCATGCAGAAATTCGGGCTTCAATATCAGTAACTATTTCATCCTTAAAGATTAAAAATAGAAGAAAGAGGATATCAATAATTAAAAGCACATTTCTAATAATAAAATTTCAGCTCATGAAAGCATGGTTACAGTGTCAAAAACATTTCTAAGAAATTTTGCCTAATTTTCCCAACAGCCAGAGGAGTAGATGATTATGAGAGGAGAGGTATTACTGATGACCATTAGATTCATTATTCATATAGGCATCATGGATATAAATGCTAAGTTTAAAAATATATGAGCCATCTCAAGCCTTGACCTATTTTTTTTTTCCTTTAAAACAACTCATGGGCTCTGTGCCTCTCTACAATTTTCTTGGTAGTCTTTTTTAAAATCACTGTTCCCTCTGAATCTGAATCTCATGATTTGTGCTCAGTAACTTCAAAATGAATATTTGGACATGAGAAAGAATTATTTATTCTTTTCTATTTTGTGCCCGGACAAAGTAAACCATTAACCATTAGCTAGCAGTGCACTGTAGTACTGACAGTGTCTTCCCTCCATACATGCACACATTTGAATGCAAGATTCACTCCTTGGCACAACAGCAATGATTCTCACTAACTGTTGGATAGAAGCGGGTTTTAATTGCTTAAAGCCACCCTTATAATTTTTTAATAAAATTTTGTATAGTGAAGGTTGGGTAGAATAGCAGTTCCCCAATGCATAAAAGAAACTTTTTACTAAACAGGTGATGAGATAATGATACAGAAAAATAATTATGAAGAAATAAATATTTATTTGTCCAAGAGTCATCATTCTACACATTTATGAGTCTTAAACTACTTAGTCCAGTGTATTTGATAAGTTAAATATAGCAAAGTCCAATCTAGTAATTGGAATATTGATAGTAGTGCATAATAAATCAATCATGAACTTTCAAGGTATCAAAAGATAATTGGAATATTGAAGATCATTATATAAGGAGCATAGGAAATACATGGAGTATCTTATCAATTAGAATAAAATGAAAAATAGCTAAAATAATAATTAGATTACAGGTAAAAAAAACTGTTTCAAATCAAAGTACCAAATTGAAAAAATAAAAATAAAAAATCCTAGGCCTTATCAAATAAACTTACAGGTAAAATATTTCAAGCACAAAAGGTGTGCAGACTATATGTACTTTTTTGATTTTTGAATATGTCACCAGAAATCAAAAGATTGTGCTACAGATGAAAGTAAAGAATAGTTTACTTCCGACTGATTGAAACAACTATGAAATGAATCATAATAATCTATAACAAGCCAAAACATACATGGAGAGCATTCACCACCTCATTTTCATAAAGAAGTAACTTCACATAAGTCAGGTGGATGTGCAAGTACATGAAACAGATTATTAAACACATGATTAACTTTGCAAGTTCTTTTCAATATTTGGAGAGAGGAAAAAAAAAAAAAAAAAACAAGACAGAGGTTCAATGCTGTCATTTGGGATGGGCTCTCATCATGGGTCCAGACATTATATTATACTTATAACATTGAGTCCAATACTTTCATCTGAGATTGATTATTCAAAGCGTCAAGAATCAAGACCTACAAGCACCACCAGCTAAGGCAGTGAACACCTCACAGCCAATGGTGTCAGATAAATAATTGTGTATTTTGTTTCATTCTTGGATGAACATAACATTTTGTAGTAAATGAAAGAATTAATAAGTTGAGGAATACATGTATTCAATAACTATAACAATTGAAGCAAGGATAAAGGAAAAGTCAACAAAGTGACCAATTCTAATTCTAGCATACAAATGGAATTCACTCATCATTCTATAGCAAGAGCAAGAGAGAGAGAGTGAAACAGGCCCCTGGATCAAAGGACGAGCTGCTTCAGCTTCAATTGGCTGAAGGGAGGTCCTTGAGACTAATGTTGTATCTTCTTGGATTCTAAGTCTCTGTAAAGAAAATTAAACAAGGTTGATGGTCCCCTGTTCCTGTACATCCTACCCAGTTACCCTTCTTCTCTCCAAAAAGTACAAAGCAAATAAGAGAAGAACTATCCTGAATTCAAGGATTCTTTGACCGCTTCAGTTCAGAATATGTGGCACAAGAAGGAAAAACATATGATCATCTCCTTATTTACCTACTAATATTTTATTTGGCACATCTTCACTTTATTGCTAATTATAAATCAATCCACATTTTGCATACAGTTTCATTCAACTTACTCAAATCACTCATCTATCTCTACTTATTTTCCCAGGATTAATAAAACTCACAAAATCATTGAAACTCCAAACTAATTTATTATACATTTCTCATCACCAAGAACAATCGACAAACATACCTATATGGGGAAGATAACAAGAACCAGGTGTTCCAATAAAAGAACAAGCCAAAAATTGAAAATAAAAACATTGCCAACTATACTTCTCTATATGCTACATAATTAATCAGAATCACGTGAAGAACTTAAAGGTTTTCACATAAACATAAAATAAATCATCTTTGATTCATCATACCTGTGCCTTGTTGAGGAACATCCCAGAACTTGTTCTGACTTCACTCATTATACTTTTACCAGACTCATTGTCTGCCACCATAGACTTCTCCAGCTTATCCTTTGCCTAACATCACAAACATTCAGGCATGGAATGGAACACAATACAACTCACACCTCCATAAAAGATCTAACTTAAACTCATAAAATTACTGTACGGTCTGAGACCACCACATGGTTTCTGTAATCTACACAACTAGGGTTTTATTAACTCTTTTTTGTAAATTGAAACCTCAGCAACTTGTCGCATTAAAATTAAGAACATAGACCCTTGGTGGTCCTTAAACCCGATGCTAATATCAATCATAAACATCAAACATCAAAAAGAAAAAGAAAAAAAAAACGCATTCAATTTACATATGACGCGTACCCAAGTTTTATTAACTCTTGGTGGTCCTAAATTCATTCAGCTACTTGTTACATGGAAATTGAGACCATAGACCCTTGATGGTCCTCAACTATACAATAATTTCTCCCTAAATCCAATGCTAATATCAATCATAAACATCAAACATTAAAAAGAAAAGAAAAGAAAAACTCATTCAATTTCAATCTAGACATGACACGTAACCAAGTTTTATTACCTCTTTCTTTTAAAATGAAAGCTCAGCTATGTGTCTTGTAGGATTACAGAGACCATAGAGGCGTGGTAATCTTGGACCATCCCATAATTTCTCCTTAAACCCAATGCTAATACCAATCATAAACAACAAACATTATAAAAAAAAATTTAAAAAAAATCTAACCAGATTTATCAAATGATCGCATTCTTTCTCAGATAAAAACCCCTTGTATAGAAAAGCCCTGCAACCATAATTCACAAAATTTAAAAAAATTTAAAAAAGCATTTGTCTAACCGAGGAAAAGGGCAAACCTGGGACTCCACGAGAGCTGAGTGACCCGCGTGGGATCAAACTTCACTGAAGACACTCCTCTCTTCAACCTAAGCACCGATCCATGCCTGAAAAAAACCAATTGAAAATGAAGAAGAGGTCAATTTTCAACGGCATTCACCATTCACCGACAGAGAGAGGGAAAAAAAAAAAGTGTGCATTATTATTACGTGGCTTTGGATTCCTGGTCCAAACCGGGCAATCGAATCGAAGAAACGAAGATCTGAAAAGAGAGGAGACAGAGGAAGAGCGAAAGGAAACGAAGGGAAACCATAGCGAAAGGTCTTCTCATCTCTGGTACAATGAGGAGAGTGTTGCAACGTTTATGTAATCGGAGAGCTGAAAGCGAAAGAGCGTGAAAGAAAATGGGAGCTCAGCGTTTTTAATTTTGATTGTCGTTTTCGGACCGATTATTCAACGAACCAAACGAAACGCCCACTGGTTTTCATTTGCATTTTCTACTGCCTCTGTCTGTTTCTGATGTGCGCTTAAACCCGCCTTCTCGAACCTTCATTTACATCAAACATGGAAACAAAAAACAATAAGTGATTCCTCTGTTTTTCTACCAATCTCTCACTCCAACAACCACCAATTAATACTTTTTTAACATTAATTAAGATTAATGAATGTTAAGAGTTAATGAAAATTATAAATTTTGTTTATATTATTTAATGAATTTTTTATCCATCAAAATTACCATTATAGTATCATGTTCGAATTAAGAAATTATGACTATTGTGATTTATTTAACGAGTCTCTTAATTTAATAGCAAAATTCACCAAATATATAGTTTTTAAGCCAATAACAAATATTTTCTCCATCTCATACTAATCGTAACTTAAAGTTTATTGAAGTTTAAAGTTTTTACAAATATGTAATGATAATAATAAATATATCATATTTTGATAGAATTTTACTAAAATAGTTTATTCTCTCAATAAATCTATTAGTTTTAATTGTGATGATTGAATAATTTATGAAGGAATAAATTAGAGGAAAAAAGTTAATTAATATTAGTACATTGAAAAGTAAGAATATTATTTATTTTGAGACATTTTTCAAATGTTAAAATTACAGTAATTGTGGGATGGAGAGTAAAATAAGTATGACTTGTATTTATGATATTTTTTACTCCCTCAATCACATAATAAATGGTTTTTTAGATTATTTTACATAAACCAATAAAACTAGTATAATAGTAGGGTTAGGTTGAGGACTTATTGAATCCCCATCAAAGACGGTTAAAATATATACACCAAAAGCATGATAAGATTACTTATCTTAAAAGAGCAGAGGTAATGTTAAATCAAAAGATAAATTTGGATCATTGAACTTAGAGTTTTAATGCTAACAAATAAAATATTTTTATAAAGAAAAAATGTCTTAAAAAATGTCTTTGAAAAATATCTTTAAAAATATTTATCATAAGATGTAAATTGTTTGCAAGACATTATAAATTAGACAAAACATACAGTCTATCTTATATATATATATATATATATATATATATTAAATGTTTATTATATAAATAGATTTTATAATAAATTATACATATAACTATTGAGTTTAAAGTTTTAATACTAACAAACAAAATATTTTTATAAGAGAAAATATCTTTAAAAATGTCTTCGAAAATATTTTTGAAATTACTTATCAAACAAAGAGTATGATGTGGATCGTCTATAAGATGATGTAAATCAGATAAAACATATAGTTTATCATATATATATTAAATGTTTATTATTTATTGAGATTAACAATAAAAGCTTCTTGAATGTTTTATTCCTTGACAAATCAAATTAAAAGATTATCTTGAAGCTCACAAATTTATTAAAGAGAACAAGATTATATTTTTCATCAAGACCAAGGACAAAGATCCCTAAAATCACATAAAGAAGCAGATAAAGTCATTGTTGTTACTGGAATGCACTACCATTGCTTATGCAAGCTCCATTTGGTATAAAAAGATGATAAGTAGCCTCTTTGATCAGATAAGAGATATCATTTGGTGAAATATATTTAATGCTTGCATTAAATAAGCCAACGGTTATTTATTATTACAAGGAAAGACAATGAAGATAAACAAAACAAGCTTATGAGCTGGACTCAAAGTGTTACAACAATCATCTTCTTTGAAGTATTGTATAAGAAGATTGAAAGCTCAATAAAGATAGAATATACATAATAAAGAGAACAGACATATAGATACATCTTTGTATAGAAAACATACTCTTTGTAAATCTATTCTTTCTTGTAAACATTCATTGATTTGTATTGATTGTATAACGTCTAAGTGAAACGAACACAACACTTGTGTAACCTTCATGATCATTATTATAAGGTTAAAACTGAAGAGACTTGTAAAAGAATATTTGGTTATTAAGCTTGGAGAGACTTGTTGTTAAAAGAATTCTTGGGTAGTTGCATGAAGAGGCAAGTCAAAAAATATTTAGGGTTGAGTCAAAAGTGGCTTGTTGAAAGAATATTTGTATCTTTGTTTAAAGATAGTGAAATTCAATCTGGTTAGATTGAGAACTGATATAGTCTTAGTGGTTGAAATGAACCAATATAAAAATATTCAATGTTCCATCTAACTACTCTTTGTATTTCATCTTACTAGAATTACTACTTCACTATGACAAAAAGTGCAAGTTTTGATACACATTATTCAACCCTCCTTCTAGTGTTTATCTTTTCTCCATGAGTAACTAGAATATACTTTGGGTCTCACATTTAGACTCAGACCCAATAACAATATAGTATAAATAATTATGTTTTATATAAAACCCTCTACCTCGCATATGTAGATAAATTTAATACTTCGTTATAAGGATATAAAAATCTTCAAATGGCTTGCATAAATAATCAAAGTGAAATCTCTAACATGAGATAGAGTCTCACATTACAAGCACTTAAACAAAACTCCATACTAATACGAAAATATAACACTAAACATACATCTTGTACTAGAAATTAAGCAAAAACATCCCTAATCTAAACCCTAATGTCATGTATCTTATCAGAGCACTTTCAAGACAAGAATTAAGCCTCATCATCAAGATCCTGATGATCATTACTTGCAATAACATACATATAGTCAAGACATGAAAACAAAGGGGAGTGAGAAAACTTCTCACTCTAGCTCATTGCATGAAATAAAAGATAAATAATCAAACACAATGTATACATTATTAATACAATAACATGACATTAAAAAATATTTGTCATTATCAAATAATTCATACATCACCATCACACACTCACTCATTCATGACACATTAATCATAAATAATTCATTTGCATGCAAATATGGAATATAATAAACACGGACTCTTGATTTGCATGCATGTGGTACTAATCTCAATATATACGCAGTGCATATGAAACAATTTGTCGATTTGTGTGTATATGATATATGTCACGTTGACTCTTTCATATTATGATTATTAATGTAACAATCAATTTGGAACTTCAGAAACCAAGGAAAGGCCATTAAAACTATATTTGAACAGATGATAATACAATTATAACCTCACCATCAAGAAAGATATATATATTATTGAGCTTAATCTAAACTAATAGCAGTGTCAAATTTTCTGTTTGCATTAATTTCTTTCTCTTAAGTCACCTGTTTCCTTTCACCCTTTACCTTAATCGAGCTTCCTCATCCTTCTCAGCCTTTTTCTTGGCCTCCTCATGAGACTCAACTAGATTCTTCAAGCAATTCTCAGCAGCATCAGCTAGTATCATATACTCATATCGGTCTCCCCCAATTACTTCTCCATAATGAGAAACAAACTGTGAGACTCAACATCCAATTAGCTCTTAGCCAACACCTTGAAAGCCTCATAAAAGCAATATGACATCTCAATGTGCTTGTCCATCCCTCCCTCTCCTAATCAAAGCAGGATCAAGCTTCTCCACATAATTTGTTGTGAAAATTATGATCCTCTCACCTCCACAAGCTGACCATATCTCATCAATGAAATTCAACGACCCTGATAGAGTCACCTTACTACTCTTATTGATTACCCTCCTCTTCATAATTTCTCCTCATAGGATTTTTTGCTTCCTCATCCTCACCCCTCTTCCTTTCCCTTCTTCATTTGAGCAGTTAGATCAAGTGAACAATCAATACCTTCAATCACTATAATACCCTTACTTGATGTCTCAGTCAACAGCTTCCTCAGCTCAGTATTTTCCTTCACTGCAGTGAGTTCAAGATCATACACATCATAGTTCATGAAATCAGCCATAGTAGCAACATATCATGCTAGAATTCCCAGTTCTTGGGGGGCATATAGTATGCATCCTCTCTACCAAGCGTTACCCACTTTCGCATAGTACTCTTTTCCTGTTTTAAACTTAGCAACACCATTTATGATCTCTTGCTTCTTCTTTGGGTCCATTGCAGGTTTCTCAAACTTGGAAGGGTGCTCAAAGAGTCAAAGTTTACGTGGCTCCACTTTCTTTGTTACTTGTTAATTACTTTGTTAGTGATAATACTTTAGGGTCAAGAACCTCTTCTCATCTGAAGTGGGGTACCTTGAAAATGAACGAGTTTTCGGAAGTGTGCAGTTTGCACTCCACCACAGTTTGACACCTTGGAACTTATCGATGATCTCTTCGTGACTAGTGGAGTGTGGCAATCTTTCATTTCTTCGACTTTCAGCCTTTTGGCTCTTTGGGATAATTTTGCACTGTGGTAATATAAGTTTGAATTGCAGCGTATGGTTCACTTCTCTTGACACTACAACTGTATGTGCAACATTTGAAAAATTATCGAAAAATATTATTAATATACTTTTACAATATTATCAAATGTAAGATATAGTTTATATTATTAAAAAAATTTAGTAATATTTTATATATTTATGACAATATTTTAGAAAATGTTATTAAAGTAGTATGTTGCAACCAGTAACGGATCTAGAAATTTTAGATAGTGAGGGCAATACTTATCATATATTTATAGTATTAAAAATTTACATATAAACTTTAAAAGCATAAATATATATCATAATTATTATTTACAAGATTTTATATCTACGATTATAATTAAAGATGAAAATAAATTAGACTAGACTAGATTTCATAATAATTTAGGTTTGAACCTAACTTTCTTTAAAATTATATCCTAAGTATGACTTATTTATCTATCATAGATATTTTTTAAGTGTTTGGTTATAGTTACAATCCTAAAGACCTACTTTATAATAATTTAACACTATTAAAAATATAAAAATAAATATGTTAAATCTTATAAAAATCAAGTTTAATTTATTTACGATATAAACATGTTTTTAATATCTAATATATATTTTTAGATGATAATTTATTTTAAAATATATTTTATAATAACAATTCTAAATGGAACATAAATCTTCTGATCTTTCTTATTTTAATTTTTTTAATTAACGTACACAATTTTACTATTTTAATTTTTTTAATCAACGTATACAATAAATAAAAAATACAAAAGATAAACATACATACTGCAATTTTTATTT